AAGTGTCTGATAAGAAATATAATCTTCATCCACAACTTCTTTTTGAAGTCCCTGCTTACTGGCTCTGACCTAAGGGTGTGGACAGCATTAGCCTGGAGGGGCCCAGGAGGCACTAGCCTGGGGAGGCATTAGCCTGGAGGGGTCCAGCAGGCAGTAGCCTTCAGCTGGTTCAGTCCAGACATGCCGTGCCAGCTGACAGAACAAGGAAAATATGTATTTATAAATGTGAATAGACACATAGGCTCTGTATAAAAAACAAAGGGAGTCTAGAATGCAGTGACAAATCTTTTTTACGTAAACACTTTTTCCAGGTCATAGTTAATGATACCTATTTTGAGCTGCCCATGTATTGCAAAATGGTTTGCAGTAGCAAGATAGCGTGAGAGAAACTGTTGCAGCCTCTGCCTTTCTCATGCAAATTATTATTTATAGTCGTGCTATGCACATGTTTAGATAGCCGTAGTCTGAGCAGTTACACTCAAACCAGGAATTCCTTCCCAGCCTGCACACGAAATACATTCTCTGCCATGTACAGCTTTGCTGTCTTCATGGGAATAAGACTCTGACATTTATAGGCCTTATATAAGATATAGAGGGTGCTAAGGAACTCTATGCCCCGGTTTCGGTGTTATAGATACAGTCTTACATTTATTAGATATTTTGTTTCTCAACTAACCTGGGGGAGACGTAAAGAGAGCAGACATTTGTTAGCATCCGGTGTTTAAAGTGACATTAAAGTCAAACTTTTTTTCCCCCCTTCCTAATACTGCTGTAAGGACTTACCTTAAATGATGTCTCTTAATCAGATCTTCTTCTTTCCAGTAGTTTTTAGCTATTCCTCCAGCGCTGGTGCGGGTCTCCGATCCAGCGCTGTCCTCCTCTTCTCTCATGTCCCACGGCATCTGTGTGGGTGCACACTGCTCTATATACTTACCTTGTGTCTCTCCTCGTCTCCCGGCCGAACATCTGAACTGCGCATGCGCCCGCCCCGATTTCCTGTGCGGCCTCCCGAGAAATTTTCAGATGTTTGAATGGGAGCGCACGGCGAAGGCGCAGGTAAGTATTAACCCTTTGAAAAAGTTTTTTTTTTTTAAATCGTTTTGCATATATCTACTGCTTGCCAGCAGTAGACATATGCAAAAACATGCGAGGATTTAATAACCCTTTAACTTCCACCCTAAAGTGACGGTTCAAATCTGATTCGTTTCTACAGGTAATCAATGGTACCAGTTTATAAAAATGTACCATCAAACATTCGAAAACAGTCTACGAATGATTTTCCTCCCACCCTCAGACACATGGGTTTCTGTTCATAAAGTGGTGAATTATTCATTTGCTGACCATTTGCTGCTTTTTCACCAGCAAACACCTGTTGGATGGTTCAAAATATTCATAAAGCACATTTGCCAGTGTGTTCATCCAGTCAAGGAACATTCGCTGCCATTGACTTGGTGATTTATCATTGCTTTATATAGTGACCTCCCCCCTTTTGCTCCATTTTTAATGTACTGCAAATTCAAATTTGACCTAAAATCTTCACTTGCATACAATGGCCCGTTTTCTATGGGAAACTTTATAAGTGTATTGAGAACAAAGGCAAATAAAGGGGGATTAAGGCGTCTGACATGCAGTTTTCAGCCAAAAACCAAACCCAGCCATAACGTGCCCCCTGAAGATGCTGATCATCTGCCAGTTGCCGGTTTGAATGATGATCATGGATTGCAGTGCTTCTTTCTGCTGTCTGTGGTGTTTAGAAAATCTGTCTACCATGGCCAACAACCATAGGGAATTTTATATAAGACTGTATATACAAATGTTATGCAAGAAATGGAAATCTTGCTGGGCCGCTCTATCCGCATTACATAATTTTCTATCCCGGTTATGCAAAAGAGATTTTAACACTCTGTTTAAGGAGCTTATCAGAATGGAAAGTATTTAATATGAAGTTGGGAGAGAAATTTCCCACACACGCCTTACTTCCTGTCTGGTAATCCCACAGTAGATAATATCCAACGGTTATTTTGTTAGCGCCTTTCCTCCCAATGGCACCTTACGATATCTCAGTGTCTGTAGATGTGTGGTGACTTTTACATTTTCGAGTGACACAACGCTGAGGTGTGAATGAACTCCATTGAAAATAATGAGAAATGTGCAATAAAATGCTTGGGTTTGAATGAGTGTCTTAATGTCTGAACATGCAAGTAACCTAAAGTGGTTTTAAACTCTCACACTTTTTTTTTTTACAATATTGAATTCAGCTCAAACAAATATATATTGTCCAGCAAAGTATTTCTTCATATCTTTGCCCAAGCACTTAATCATCATATTTCTGAACAGCTAGCTCCAACTCTCTTGGTTCTGCTTCCCTGAACTTCCTGTCCAGTACAAAATCACAAAGGACAGAGCAGACTCCCATCAACTGTCCATCTACTAGCTAGGAGAAGGGAGGAATGAGAAGCATGGAGCAGAGGGAAGTGGCTTTGCCTTGCTGTGTCTGTGTTTTTGTGGAGATGCGCAAACACGGGGTTCTATGGAGCCACCCTTAAGGGAAAGGAGCCAACCTAAAACAGGATATTGGGGCTAGTGCTCAGTGGACCAGCTGGTTCTTCTGCAAACTTTTCAATATCAAGGAATAGCATTCATTGCAAGTGATATAATCAGCATTTGAAATCGCTTTAAGATTTGACTTTAATATCACTGTAAAAGTATTTACTATGGTCGTTGAATATTCACTATGCCAAACGAACAGCTTCTACTCCTTTAGTAAATCCACCCCACTATGTGCCTTCTTATAAATGCAATCTTTAATGCACACACACACGCGCGCGCGCTTTGAGGTTGATTTATGGTGAATGCAAAGTGAATGTTCACTCAGTTAAGGGAAGCTGTGTTCACTTTGAAAACACAATGCTAATTATTGGAAAATAAAAGAAAATAAAGATTTTTGTGTGGGCGTGGTTGAATGATTGAATAAGCTTCATCTTCTTTACAAAGCTAAGTGAACACAATATTCCTTTAGTAAACCATCCCCATTGAGCAAGTAGTGCAGGTCTGTTTGGCAAGCACAGCCTGCAAAGACTCTTGTTCACATGCCAGCGTTAAAACCCAGAAAGTTGTGAAATGGGGCTTGACAACACTGAGGTTGGAATTCACTAATGGGATTGGCTGTGGGCACTTTAGTCAGCCTCATTATATAGCAGAGAAATCTTTTACATGTATCAATAGGCTTGTGTGCATCTCAGGGAGGTGTTGTTGCTTCCCTGATTGGTAATAATAAGTGATTAGGGCTGTGGGTTGCCATGGTAACACATCTGAAGGTTAACGGCTGGGGCTGTATGTGTCAAACATGTCGAATTCGTGCACGGCACTTTCAGTTCTCCAAAGATAATTGTGTTCAGGAATGCTGGCCAGTTTCGTTTTTCGTTCACGTTTCTGCTTACAGCTGTAGAACAGATGATCCATTTAAATCATTAATTCCTTCATTTTAATTCCCAGCAAGGCTTGCAAAACAAATCATGCATAAAACACACAAACCCACTCCTTCCACAGAACATTGTGAAAGTTTTACAAATGTTTTGTTGATGTTTTGAAGCTTGATTATTTAGTTGCATTAGTAAAAGGGAATTTTTGGGGTGCTTCAGTATTGGCAAATGTAGCTGCCGCGTACAGGAACCTAAATAGATCTAAAGACCTTGGCTATGAATATACTGTAATTCCAGCTGTTGTTCTTCACTGCTGGAACATAGATATTTGATCGGTCTCCGTGCGGAACAGTAGCATTTTACTATGCAGGGTTTAGTCAAAAAGAAACTTTGTACCATTTGTTTTTCTTAATCATGCCAAATGAAGGTATATGATCAAAGAATGATGGCACTAGCAGGAGTCACTGGCAATATGCATTCACTGGCATCCATTGAAAGGCTGACCAGTGCTTACAGTGACACTAAACTCTGGAGATACATTTTAAAAATGCATTCAAGTACTTTATTAACAATAATGTATCTTATTTGTGTATCACTCGGCTGTAGATCCCCAAATCATCTCTGAATTGGTACTGACACTGTCCTTCCTTCTGGAGGCTGGCTACTTTTGTTCCCCATGGTCCCTGTGTGTGTTGTAAAGTAGTCACCACTCCCATGATGGACTACAATCCCAATATAAATTGGCTAACTAAAGGGGAGAATGTAGCCCATGCATGCATTTTTAAGATTTAACTCTTGAGTTTAGTGTCCTTTTAAAACACATTCTTGCCATTAACAATACACCAAAGGTCCCCTATACACAGGCATCAAAAGGGGAACCCTTCGAACAACCCTTGACGTTCAGAAGAAGAGCCTGTTGTCTCAGATCACTCAGCGCGTACAGGGGTTTTGCAAAGCGCTGTCTACATTCAGGTGAATGCTTGCTGTAGCATTCACTGAACTTTACAGTGCAGCAATTGTACACGTTAACAACTTTTCTTACTGGCTAGAGACAAAAGTGACAAGATGCCAGTATGTGAGACTTAAAGGAAGTGTCAGGTGTAAAGAGTAGGAGCTGCCACTTCATTTTTGTGACGGAAAGTATGTGTTCCTATTTTTTTTTTTTTTTTATAACTAGCTTTAATTAGTCAATGTTCATACTGCTGGTTCTTGTTGGTTTCCACAAATTAGAAGCACAATGGGGGGAATTTATCAAAACTGGAGCAGATAAAATCTGGAGCAGCTGTGCATGGCAACCAATCAGCTTCTCTTTTCAGTTTGTCCAGTTAGAATTTGAAAATGAAAGAGAGAAGCTGGTTGCCATGCACAGCTGCTCCAGATTTTGTCTGCTCCAGTTTTGATAAATCCCCTTCAATGTTTATAATAAATCCTAATTAGTCCAAATCAATGTGAATACAAATAAAATGAAGAACTCGATAATTGTGATATTCAGATGTATTTTTTTGTATGCTTTTATCAAACCATTGGACGAGAGTAAAAGAATGACCTCTTATGCAATTTTTTGTTTTTCTTTTCTAGGGGACATGATTTCTTAGTGAATTTGGACTGTATGACTATTTATGAATCTCCTGAATTTGACCAAATACGACGATTGTCTACCCCTTCTACCTCTGGACTTGGCTCCAATTACCACACAGTGTGGAAATACTTCTGCAGAGATCACTTTGGATGGAGGGAGTACTCGGAGGTAATTCAGCTGTTTTGCTTCGTTGTTCATAACATTCAATTGTCTCCATAGGATTGTCATCAGATGTTGATTGGATGGCTGCTCATAAAATAGGCAGCTTGCAGTTACAGTAGACATCGAGCATTCATCTATTTATGTACGGAAGAATTAAACATGTCCCGACCCACCAAACTGGCCTTCTATTGCCAGCCAGGTTAGGAAAAACATGCTGTGTTATCAGCCCTCCCTAAGTCAGTATGAGGTCCAAAGTGCCCATATCTGCCTCCTTCCATCACCTCCTGTTTACAATTCGTACAGGAGCTACCTGTATTGAAGTATTGAGGCGTTGAATGCAGCAGTTCAATAGAACCAGGTAGAAAAAGATCTCATTAAACATTTTTGTGAGTAACCACCTAAAGTGTGGAAAAAAAACGCGTATTAAAACATTTGCTGAAACATTTTTTGCATGCAAATGTAAAATGTTTATTGCGATAAATAAGGTAACTATCCATTTGTTTTGTCAAACAGCCTGTGGTGAAACTGATAGAGGAAGCCAATTTCCGTGGGCTGAAGGAGGTCCGCTTTGTCACTTGGCATAACCAGTATATACTGAACATCAAAGATGGCTTCCAACAGAATGCCTGCTTCAGGAAAGAAATTAAAAGACGGCCCTTCTTCCGATCCTCTGTGATGTTACTGCCACATCTACAGTAAGTAGCCACATTCTATATATTTGTTATTTGTGCATACTGGGTTCCCTTTTATACAGACACTGACCTTGCCCATTAGGCTTACTCCAGATTTGTGAACCTGTATGTGCTTCAGACATAATTGAAGTCGATGGAAAGCCGTATAACCTTAATGGGTGCAGGAATTGAGCATCAGTTTTCTGTTGAAAGGCATTCATAGACATCACTTCTCTGTCTTCTTGACCTTGCCTAATGGAAACCTCTGGTGGTAGTCTGATAACACAACTGTTGTTTGTATTGGATATTTTTGGGTTGTAGATTATTACCCTCCACCCTGATCTGTCAGATTGTTGTACAAACAGGAAGCACATTCAAGTCCTCTTAAAACAGAAGATGTGTCTTTCTTACTGCCGGTTCTATCTGCCTGTCTCAATGGCAGTATCCAGTATCTACATGTTACCCTTCCATTGGCATCTGCCTGTCTCCCTGGCAGTGGTATATTTTTGTTTCACTGGCAGCGAGACATGCAGATCATTTCTGTTTTCAGAAGGCTCATTTTATGTCACATTGCTTTAACAGAGGACTTTGTGGTTTCATTAAATTAATCTCACCATAACCTAGTCTAGTTATATTCTGTAGTTGGGTCATAGCTATTCCAGAACATATGCCCATGTGTTTACATGTGAAGCACAGAGAAGTAGTAGGATATTTTGTTTGGATGGATCTTTTAGCTGCAATCATTTTATATATCATCAAGTATAAATCACTGTCTCTGTTGGAAATGTGCATCCTCTATTCTGCATGTCTGCCTATAGAAATTGTTGCGTGAGATTTTTACATATGACAGATATAGGTTGAATTCTAATTACAGTGGGCTCTGGTGACAGCCGTTATTGAACAGGATGTTGCAGATGGTGACACTTGCTGTCACTCATTACACTATTATAGGCAGTACAACTTGCATGTTCCATTCTGTTATGGTATTCCGTCAGGGATTATTTTATGTAACAACGGAGATGCTGAGGAAAAACTGCGTAAAGGTAAAAAAAAAAAAAGAAAGTTCTCAAAAAAAATGATGGGTGACTTGGGGCGAAAAAGGAACTCACCCTGGGTTGCATGATCAAAAGTGTCTGAAGAAAGAACTATCCTTGTTGCCCATAGCAACTGTTCCTAGTCGTTTGTTTGCTGTGGCAACATGAAAAGCGGAATGTGTTTGCTGTAGGGAGTAAGAATGGTTCCTCCTTCATTTGATCATGAGGCCCTCTGTGGTTTGAGGAGTAGAACCTTAGTGATCAGATGATTCATTGAAGTCCTTAAAGCACAGCTGGTCACTTTTGTCCATGCCCACCCCCAGAAAAGTTTGTGTGGTAATGCTTACCATCATTGGGCCCTGCCTACATGTGTAACCACTCTCCGCAAAGTACAAGACAGGGATGCCATTTCTATGGTAACATTGTGCACTGTGAACAAGAAGTACCCTCTGTCAGGACATTGCAGATTCGTCATGTTCCACAGCAGTGTTGGCTTGGGTGAGCCACGTTTATGAGGTGCTGCAGCTTAATCTGTTTTGATTTGAAGCTGTAGAAAAGCAGTTTGTGGCATATCATGCACAGCTGGAGGAAGGATTGCAAGCCCAGTATTTAGGAACACTCTGTACTCGTAGGATAAAGTAGGAAGCTGTTAGTCTGCCCGGAGGCTTGACATGCACAGTCTAGCAAGAGCTTACATGCTGCACGTAACAGAGAAAGGGGCTCTGGAAGCAGTTAAGCATGTTATCATAGAATGCACACAGTCGCCATGAACTTTCAAGCATGCTGCACGTAGGAGATGAAAAAAAAGACACAAAAAGCGTAATGTTTTGTCTGCTATTTTTAGTACTTGGAGGTATATTCAATAGCCAGGCGTGTTTAGACTTGATCATCTCAGCTACAAGATCTGTGGAGCACTTGTAAAAGTCCCTAAACCTTCTGTGTGCAAGTCAGAAATTGCAGCTTACTGCAAGAATTTTAGGGCTACTTCGACTAGTATCGAGACCTTTTAAAGTTAGTGTCTGCTCAAAAATTATTTTTAATGTAATTCATTCCCCTTCCTCCCTGGAAAAGCAAACCACGTATATTTTGTTTAACAACTTTATCTAGGCAGCACAAAATCCTCTCCTTTGGTCTTCGGGCTGCCAGAGGAGAAATCCAAGACTGTACCCTTCAGAAGCAGGGCACCTTGTTGGATTATGTAGCCAGTCCTGATTGACAGTGGTTAGGGGAGAGGGTTATGAGCAGGTGCCGTGCAGCAGGCCCGCAGTGTTGTCACCCTCCTGGAGGAAGGGCTTGAGGGCCAGCAGGATCACCAGGCTTTAAGGAAAACCCAAAAGATTGGTTAGGTGTAATTTTGCACTTGCATGTATTTTTTTTTCCCAAGGCATACATTGGAGTTACATTTCGGGTACAGTTCTACTTTCATAGCTTACCTAAATAATACACCAAGGCTACAAAATAGAATAGAAATGACTAGTTTCTTCTAAAGTTCTGTACAGGCTCACACGCACGAGTTGTCCGTCCTTTGTTTTTTCTGTTCCTCTTTTTTTTTTTAACAAAAACTAGAGAAGAGGATAGAACAGAGCATTAATAGGTGTCCTTCCCCTCTCTGCAGAACTGAATTTTCTGCATGTATCTGGATTTTTGAGAAAGATGAGCTATTACATTGTTATAAATATATTCTTCTCAACCACCGATCTGAATCTGATTGGTGGTTGTGGACAAATACCTTCATGGCATAGGAGGAATGCACTCCTACATCAGGCTATGCGCTATTTTCATCAGTATTTCTCTGTCTATCTTTGCTCCATGTGTTTTGAAGTTCTTTATGGAGACCAATTGCTTTGAGCTTTTGTGGTCTGCTCTGAGAAGAGAACTAAGAATAATTATTGTTAAAGGAGAACAATGGCGTAAGTGTTTCTCCCCATAGTTCTCCTAAGGGTCACAGGAGGATATAAACTAGCGTTCTCCCGTGACCCAAAGCTCAGTATATAGCGAGCTACAGCTTGCGGAATACTAAGACCGTCGCAGCCAGGACGGATCCTGACATTACTGTCGAGATCCACCCAGCTGCTTGATTGACAGCTGACTCTGCCTATCTAGAGGCAGAGCCAACTGTACCCACCCCCTCCCCTGTCAGTTCCGCCAGTCAGCACTGGAGGATCGGAGGGGGGGGCAATCCCTGCAGGGAGCTGTGAGTGACAGCCACGGCTCTCTGCAGGGAGATGATCGACAAGTGAGCGAGCGACGGTATGTGTTCGCTCACTTCCCGATCTATTGAGCCGACGTGTGACAGTTTCATTGTCACACATCGGCTCGAACTCTGAGGTTAAGTGAAAATCACTCGCCTCACAGTTCTCCTTTAAAGGAAAGGGAGTGGGTCACTAAACAGAAGGGCCTTGGTACCAAGCTCCATTTTCCTAAGCCCCCATTTACACTTGAGCATGAGTATTTTCTGGCAATGTTTGAAGTGGTGGGTTTTTGTTTGTTTTTTTGCACGTTTTGAGGTACTTGGGTGCAAAATCGTGCAAAAAAAATAAATAAATTATGTGCATTTTTCAAACATTCCCATTGAAGTCTGTGGGGTCAAAAATATGCGATTCTGCTGGAAAAGAAGCTCCTGTACTTTTTCGAGCTTCAAGTGACACAATGTTCTGGTGTAAACAGGCACTATTAAACATAATGCACTTTGGGAAACACAGGTTGTGAATGAGGGCTGAGAGGTAAACAGAACTCAACACAAAGTATTTTGGGCATAGAAAGAGTGCGCTTACCCAAGTATTTTTTTTTTTATTGGACACGTGGCTCCTAGTTGCTGTTCCAGTTCTGTAAAGAAGATGTTTATGTGTTACATAGTTACACAAGGACAGGTGAAAACCTCAGAGGTTTTATTTCTGTTTATGGTGCTCAGTCTCACGTTATGTTTTGTTTGTGCTGACAACTGTTCTTCCTGGCAATAGATGATGAGAACTAGTCCTCATCGCTTTAATCTTTAAAAGGTGCAGCATGTAGGGTTAATCATTTATAATAGTCAATTACTCGTATGTTCATATATTTTATGATCATACACAGGCATTCCATACTGTTTTATTAATTTATAAAGGTGTCACATACTATAAAACATAACAAAAGATCAACATTAGGTAGAAGCCAAGTTCTGCTTGTAGATGATTGGCATTTTGCTCACATACCACTCAAGATGCCAGTGTGTCTGTGGTGAGGGTAGTCCTTTGTGATTCCCAACATGCAAGCCTGCCCTAAATCTTGTTCTGTGATTTCATATTCAGCAAATGTAGTTATAGAAGTCATCTTGGTTCAAGACAAATTCATGTTGGCGACAAGCAGTTGTTCTAATTTATGAAAATATTGTATGCACTATACTTGCCAAGCTTTCTACTTGGCACCAGGGACTTGTATATGGAAAAGGAGAATAGGCGGGAAGCCCAGCAGTTTTGACTGCTGATGGTACTCTCACCGGTCAGGGTTTGTGATTTCCGTATTAAACAGCAGCAAGGCAGTTTCATTCGGAATTCACGGCCTTTGTGGCATAACACAGCTTGACATCCCATTAAAAGGAGTATGCCCGTCTGCATTTTTTCAATGAGCTTAATGTATGGTTATAATCCCTAGTTCAAAAGCTCTTACTGACTCCTACATTTCACTGACTGTCTTCTAAGTCCTCCAGTATTTTGTCCACCTTTTTGTGTGTGGGTGGATAGTCAAACATTAGCTAACTGGTCAACTTCCTAAAGATCTTTCTTCCCTCTGCCCCCTGCCCCCTCACAAACACACTTGGATGGTCATGGACATGTATGAGAATGTCAGAGAGCCACAATGCCCATCTGACCTCAGCATGAAATCAGACAGACGTTTTTAAGCCAGACCGGGGGCTCTGATTTTAGTGGTTGTGCTGTGAAATATCTAATAGATAGCTTGTCTTGTCATTTGAACGTACCACAATGTGCTGCCTACATCCAGATACTACCGAGACTTTATAGTATGAATTCACGTCTATAAACCTGGCTCCCCATTCAAACCTTAGTACCAATAATGCCGTAGTTTAACGTGCCTTTTATAATGCTTGATGTCAATGCCTTGCTTACAATGCCTTGAAAGTAACTCTAAGGTACACGTAATTGGTCTTGCCGACGGGCTGGCTACATTGCCTGTGCATGACATGAATAAAGGCTCTTTCAGCGTGTAAATGTAATGAATGGACTGCATTAAAATGCACGCTGAGAAGTAGTTTGCATTGATACAATACTTCATAGTTTTGTTTTATGGTGCTATAACGCGGCATAAATCTCAGTGCCCAGAAGATGCTGTTAGAATTTTTTGCAATTATGCTGTAAAATGCTGGCTCAGCTTAAAATCCATTCCCTGCTAAATGTTTCCTTTTATACAGAATAATTTACAATGCCGTAGCATTTACTACCAGTTTTGGTTTTCCATTACTGTGCAATATCATTGTTTGTTTGATGGGGCCGCAACGTAATGCTGTAGTTGCATACTGAGTATCGGTTAGTTCATTCATTTTTTAATGGGCACAGTTTCAAGAAGAACTCGCCTTATGATGATGATGATTTTATATGATGCATAAAGCTTGCAACGGCTTTGTAGTTTTTGGACAAAGCAGGATTAAACTTATATTTATCTGTGATGCATTGTTTAGAACTCTAGAATTCAGACCGTGCGTTAAAGTAGAACTCTAGCCTTGCCTTCAGTCTTGCACAGGCTCTACGCTACTGATATTTCTAGCTCTGATTAGAGCTCAGCTCATGTCCTGGCTAGAGGACATCCAGCATCCTCTAGCTCTATGCTTCCCTGTCTTACTGTCCTTGGCATGTCCCTTTCATTCATTAGATTTCAGTTCTTTCAATCCCAGAACTCAGAATTATATGTGGGTATTACCTAGGGAAGTCTACAAGCTAATGTAGCCTGGCTGGGAATGCCAGCTCCGCAGACTGATACTCACTTATCAGTGCATGCCCACTGCTTGCAACAAGGATGAGGGCTCTTGAGAAAAGTACCAAGGCAGGTTGCTGTAATGTTTTTAGGAAGCTATGTACAGCACCTCCTACCAGTCATAATCTGGCTGCATTGCATAGAGATACACACAGACTTAGTGATGACATTACTTAGTCTGGAAAAAAAGGTATTTAATGAAAACTGAGGTTTTATTAAAAAATCTCATTACCATATTAGTAAAGGGGGAAGGCGGAACCAGGAAAGGCAAACTATAAGTAGATTTAACTTCAGCTTAAGCTTTTGAGCTGAATGCGGGAAGAGTTGAGACCCTTGTCAGGAATTTTGCTGTACTTGTTTTTTAAAGGAATTCCTGTTCTAGTGACACGACGGTATGTGAGGAAATCTCAGACAGCAACAAACATCTTATAAGACACATGTTGCAATCAATACCTGACAACGTTTCTAACCCTTTTCCATCCTATTCAAACGGGAAAAAAAAATAGGGCTAATTTTTTTCTGTGACTGTAGATAGTGTGCCTCTTTGCAGTGTTAGCCATGTGTCACAGCTACAACAATTTTGTCTATGCTATATTGTTAAATCAACCTTTTTTTGTCAGTATCTGTCCACCTGGTGATGGTACAAAATCCAGACATGAAGCTAATTATACAATTTTTCTCTTTTCTAGGACACTGAGTGGAGTAACGCCAGCGAATTCCCCGGTGGATGAAGCGGCATCTCTGCAGGTTTTATCACCTGTCGCCATAACAACCCCAAACTTTTATCCTGAAACCTGGATCCCAATGGACTCATCTCAAGAGTTTATCCAAGTGCCTATGCCAAAGGAAGACAAGAGTTACCGAACAGTTTACACCCTCTTCCACAAAACGGTGCCCGAGACCAAGTTCCGCATTTTAAAGATAATGCGAGTTCAGAACCTCTTCCTATGGGAGAAATACAAAAGGTAATTTTTTTTAGCATAACAAATAACGTTACATTTACAAATGATCAGTAAAATCACTCCACCAACTGCAGAATACCGTTTGTGACCGTTCTTGACTCTACTAACAATCATTTTAATCTTTTCACAAATTCACAAATGAATCTACATTTTATGTACAGATTCCATACACTTCTATTCTACATATATTACTGCAATTTATAGAGGAAGTGGCAATCTATAATGATTGTAATCATTTTTAAAAGCGGTTACCCTTTATCAGGGTAAAGTTTCAGGTTCTCATGTAAAAAAAAAAACACCAACTGATTTTTTTCCTGCACTGCCCCACTGATCTGTTACTCTGTTTTTAGTGCTGTCCTAGCCCTGTATAAGATAGTGTGGGATAGTGTCAGAGATTACACACTCCTCTTCCTCCTTGCTGGTTTATGGACAGTGTTTTGCACCTGGCGACTGGCCACTCAAGCCTGTGCAATGCATCTTGGGAAGAGGTCACATGCTCCTCCATACCAGAACCTGATATTTACTGAATCACAATTTTTTTTATCACAAGGGAATCTGTCACTTTACTTTGAATGGGTAATGAAATTCACTAAGAACACAGTAAGTTTATAGAAAATCTCCCCAAAGTGGGTGGAAATCACACATTTGGCTGTTGTCCCTGGAACAAGTCTCACTATTCATAGATTTCGGGTCTAATTTTGTTCCAGTAGCAACGGCAGATTTTTGGATTTCCACTTTCTGTGCCACTAACAATGGTCCTCCTTCTTCTATCCAGCAATTATTGCCTATATGTAGATCATGCCCAGTGCCATCTTCCCCAGTAAAGTGTTGGAATGCCCACCTTTCTGAGGGCAGCATTATGTCAATTAAAACATTGATATATTTCATTTAAAGCATACATTTCTGAGGCATCATTAACCTTATTGAAGGTACCTAGTCCAGCTTTGCATTAATGGCATTTTTGTGCAAAGAATCGTTTAGTTGCTGTTCCAAGCTTTATATTTACCTTTCTGTCTTCTGTCACGTTTTAGGAAGAAAGAATTCATGACCAGGAAGATGACAGGGCTGGACAAGATTATGAACGAGCGACATCTGTTTCATGGAACTTCCCAGGACGTTGTTGATGGGATCTGCAAACATAACTTTGACCCTCGAGTCTGTGGGAAACACGCTACCATGTTTGGACAGGGCAGTTACTTTGCCAGGAAGGCAAGTTATTCCCACAATTTTTCCAAGCGGTCACCAAAAGGTGTTCACTACATGTTCCTAGCAAAAGTATTAACGGGAAGATATGTGGTGGGGAATCACACCATGCGGCGGCCTCCACCACTAAACCCTGGGGACATAACCAGTGATCTGTATGACTCTTGTGTGGACAATTTCTTTGAGCCTCAGATCTTTGTTATATTTAATGATGACCAGAGCTACCCATATTTTATTATCCAGTATGAAGAAGTTAGTAACACTGTCTCCATTTGATCTAAAATGCTGCTGATTTGAGCTCTAGGAGTCCTTTATTTGGAAACAAGAAAGCCAGAAACTTCCAAGCTATTTGATAAAGACCAACGGTGCACTTGTTCATAATTTATGTGCATATTGTACATAGTTTTTCTTTGTTAAGTTTGTGTGCCTTTTTTGTTAATAAAACCTTTTATTTATGTGAGTAAATAGCCACGTGTCGAAATAAAAACATTTTTTTGAGAATGTTTCAAGAATCATAATGCTAATGCCTAAAGCTAAGGTTAAAGGCTCAAACCACCCAAATATGACACTCCAGGTATAATGTGGGTAGTAGAGTCACCTGCTCGGTTCCCGAGAACTCCAGCTCTGACACCTCCCTGACTATTCTGTTCTGTTCTTAGTTCTCAAGCCTCTTACTTAGAGCAGAGATGTTCCCAATCCTACTGCTTTCTCCTTGATACATACAATTCTTAATCCACCAAAAGAGCGGGCCCCTCAGAATGACTTCAGAAAGGAACTTGTTTTTTACTTTCTATTGCAATCCAACTTTGGTTTGTACTGTATATTCTCCAACTGTCACAGTTGTTGGGTAAAGTACACATGGGACAGCCACATTTTGTAGTCTGGCTTCAGGACTGCTTGTTAATCTAGAAAAGCTAAACAATCATAGACAGGTTTATTGTCAAATATCATGAAGAATCACAATGATATAAAAGCTAAAGAGATGCTGCAGTTATAAAGGCATTCATTTTGTAAAACAGGATTTCTTCAAATTCTAAGGAGAAACTAATCCAGAAACCTTCAGGGAGTCAAATCACAGGATGAGTATGTAGATGTTGCTGTCCAAAGACATGTCGGGGTGCAGATTCTCATATTACAACAATGGGATTGATTTGGACTATAACTTGCTATATACAAATTGCTAAACAAAGTGAGATTGTAGTCCATCACAGGAGTGAGCTTAGAGCTTGTGGCTACTTTACAACACACACTGGGACCATGGAGAATAAAAGTAGCCACCCTCCAGAAGGAAGGGCAGTCTCAGCACCAATTCGGAGATGATTTGATGATCTACAGCCGAGTGATACACAAATAAGGTCCAGTATTGTTAATAGTTAAAGTACCTGAATGCATTTTAATATTTTACTCCCACGTTTAGCGTCCCTTTAACCTTGTAAAGGATGTGCATGAACACATGCTTTGAGAAGCATTTTAGGAGTCCAGGTTAGCCCAAACAGTGTATATTAAGTCTTCTGTCAGTGATGGGAAAAAAACACGGTTACAAAAATCCACCTCTCGCTGTCAAGTGCTAAATAGAACCGACCTCTACAGTGTGAGCACTCTGAAGCCATCAGGGTAAAAAAAAAAACCTTCTAACCAACACCGCTCTGGTCAGAAAGGCATAGTATATCCCTAGACATGGAGGGGTAAAATGAAAAAAAAAGTTATGTAGTTTGGATTATCTTCTGTTGCCAACATGGTGAAATCTTAGTAAAGTGTAAATTCCTAACCCCGTACACACACTCATGTCCTGTTGGTGGTCCTGAGGCTACATGCTGGAAAGTCTCTACTGAATACCCATTCCTGAGCACTAAAGCCACTCGTTCAGCTTGATTTGTGAGTTAGAAGATTGCCTTCAAAGTATGAGGCCTGCCAAGTACGGTCACGTGTATGCGATATTAAAACCTGGCATTGGAAAGTAACCTTTTGCCTGGCACGGTTAGAAGGCATAATTGATATCACAAAGACTTTTCTATTTGCCTGATTTACACAGCTTTGCACAGTCCTGAGAGGAAAGCACAGTGGGAACAGACACTCCGGGCTGGTTTCAGGTGCACCAAGCTGTGCTTCCTTCCATTATGAACTCACTCCAGGGATCTTTATTACCGCCTTCTGCAATCCAGTTTCACAACTGTGTCTGAGTACAAGGCGTTCTAATCCGTGAGTCACATGTTCTGCTGAGCTTTCATTGGTGTGGCTTGTACAATACCCAGGCAGCATCCCTGAATGAAGAGTGCCTCATCTATAGGAATGTTTTAGGGATTTGAGTAGAACAAATTGTGTTCATTTGTATTCATGTTTCAACACCATTGCAGCTGCTCTGAGAACCGCATTGTTCATCACAGAAAGACATCCTGCTGAATTGTGTTCCACCCAGATGAACTGTGCTCCACAGAAAATAAGAAAACTCCACAGTACCAGTCTGGATTTAAGACTTCACCCAAGGCAAGGCAGTTTATATTCATGTTTAGTTATATTGGAGTCTGCTGGAAAGTGTTACATGCATCTCAGGCTCCCATGTCCTGATTAAATCTCTAAATAGCACATCCACGTTAATAATAAAAGCAACAAAAACATTATAATGGCTGTTTCCAGACTGGGGTATCGTACTAAACATTATCATTGGATGCTAAACTATGTTACAATACTGGTTCATCAGAGGGAAATGTTTGAGCCTTTGTTAATTTAAACTTTTACTGATAAGCATGGCAGCCTTCATCGCCAACTTCTCTGGTCACACTATATGTGATGGCCTGGACATCATAGAAAACCATTGCTTTCTATGTGCCCCATTCAGGCATGCAGCATTTTTCCGCAGTGCACTGGATGGCACCAGAAGTGACCGCAGCACACCGCATTGCTGTATTGAGACCTGAATAGAATGTGCACTTTTTACACTTTCAATAAAGTTAAAAAGAAATGATGTGATTCGCTGAAACAGTGCAAAGAATGGTGCCTCCTAATAGCTCACCCCCTAGCATGGCATACTCACCCATCCACACTCCCTGCAGTAGGAGTCCACCCTGGTTAAGCTCTAGTGTGGGATGGTGTTAGAACTTTCCTGGGTGAATGACGTCAATTCCCCTCATTAAAGTGTTTAGTCCAGGTTAGCCCAAGCATTCTCATATGGGGAATGCCCCCCATACATGGAACCTGCTTTGTTAGAGCATCAAAAGTGAGGTCTCCAACCAAGCAGGGAGGAGGCAAAGGACATGCAAATAGAAATGATAACTTACCAGCAGGGTGAGCCCACAGGTGCCACTATCTCTTCAAATGTACCACTAACAACAAACAATTCCCCTTTTTACCCTCTGTAACTACAATACGGAAGGTATACAGCTTATGTATTGTCTTTGCTCTGCTTTTCATTAAGAAAGCATATCTTTGAATAATGCAAATTTTGTTCTTTTTAATACTAGATGATACGATATGCAAACACAGACTTGCTGCATTATGACAGGCATAATGTCAGCCCTTGCGAAAAAGGTGGTATTCTCTATACTAATCTCTGCGTATATATTGGAATCTTACGACTGCAAAATATAATGGGCAGACAGAATCTTTGTGGTTGATACAGGTCTGTGGAGAATACATGAGGCAAGAGTTTTATATCTGAACTGTTCCATCCACAACTGTAGATGTTCTTTCACTTAAGCCCTGGTTCACACCTAGGCGGCACAGTTTTTGCTCGTTTGTATGCGCGTTAGCAGCATGCGGATATTTGCACGTTTATCTGCGTTTTAACATGCGTACATGAAGACGCGTGTTTTGATTGACAGCTCATAAACCATTGTGGGCAATGGAAGAACGCGCAAAAACGCTCACGAAAATGGGCAACATGCTTCTGTTGTGTGTTTTTGGGCCTTTCCAATGAAGTCTATGGTGAGCAAAAGCAAAAACTGCCCAAAGAAGCTCCTTTATCTTTTCAGGCGTCTGGCGTTTTCCAGCTAAGTGTTTTTCTGCTCAGGTGTGAACCAGGGCCATTGAAAATCAGGGGATTTCTTGTGTTGGGCAGTTAAAAGTGCTTTTCGAACTGCTCAAAAACGCCTGGGTGTGAACCAGGGCTAAGTGCTCCTGATTGTGACCCTAAGGCTGGGTTCACACCTGGGTGTTCCAAATAGGCGCGTTTTATGCTCGTTTTTAGCACGTTTTAAGCACCTTTTTTGTTCAATGAAACGCACGTTCGGCGCTCATTTTTTAACCCCCCTGGCGGTACGATTTTTTTTTTCTCTATCTTTTTTTCGGATTTTTTTTTACTTTTTAAACTTCCCGCCGGTTCAACCTCCTTCTTCACTGCGCTGCCAGGCCCCTGACTCCTCGGCCGCCACCAGCAGGCTGGCCTCCTCCTTCAGCAGTGCAGCCACCGCTGGGCCCCGAATACCACCACCGCTGCTGCCAGGCCCTTACTACCGCAACTGCCAGGCCCTGACTACCACCACCGCAGCTGCCGGGCCCCAACTACCGCTGCTGCCTCCTCCTCCTCTGCCGCAGGGCCTTGGGCCCCAGCCCCCTCCTCTGCCCGGCCCCGGCCTCCTCCATCTGAGATAATAGTTACGCCACTGCTACCACCCATAGTATCAGGTGTCTGGCATCCCCTCTTGCTATAGTGATCCATGTAGCGTGGAGAGTGGGGCAGAGGAACCAGCACGGTCCTGAACGGGATCTAGGCATCTTGACTGTGCCGCCGATATCCTGGGCTGTCAAACAGCGGAGACTGCAGTGATACGGAGCTGTCAGCCGCAACCACTCAGTGTACTGCAAAACGGGTGTAGGTGCTGCTCGTTCTGATGGCCAGTCCAGCCCTGATTGTGAGCCTTGCTCCTGACCGGGCCCCCCTCTGTTGCGTGCCCATAGCGCCCGCATGGGTCGCTATGTCAGTAGTTCCGCCCCTGCTTTTGACTTTAAAGGAGAACTATGAGATGAGTGATTTCCACTCACCTCATAGTTGTAGCCGACCTGTGACAATGAGACTGTCACAGGTCGGGAGGTGAGCGAACACATACCAGCTGGATTCCCCTCTCCCCGCTCTGATCTGCCAGCGCTGACTGGCGGAACGGGAGGGGGCGGGTACAGCTGGCTCTGCCTCTAGATAGGCAGAGCCAGCTGTCACTCACGCAGCTGGGCGGATCCCGTCATCTACGTCAGGATCCGCTCCGGCTGCGGCGTCTCAGTATACCGTGAGCTGTAGCTTGCGGTATACTGAGCTTAGGGTAACGGGAGGACGCTAGTTTGTGTCCTCCCGTTACCGAGAACTATGGGGAAAAACACTGACCCCATAGTTCTCCTTTAATATCACTTTTCCTTTTTCCCATTCCTTGGAGTTAAGCTCCTTTTATGCTGGTGACATTTCCATGCATTCTGCGTCAATGTGCAAAACAGAACACATGAAAGGCACAGGTTCCCACTGTCACACCCTATTGCAGCAC